GTGTGAGAAGTCACCGTGTTGCGGCGTAACCCTCCCGCGGGGGAAGTCGGGCGTCACCTGGCCGCCTAGGACTCGGCTTTTCGGGAGCTGCACCCCCGCTGTGCGTGGTGGTTGTGGGTGCTGTGTTCGTGTCTCGCGGGTCGCGTTAGAGGGGAAGAGCTGGAGCTTTAGGTAGCGGGGTTAGGCCTCTCGGGGCCTGGGAGCTGTCACAGGCTGCCAGCGCAGTAAACCCAGGCTCAGCAGAGTGTTTTTTGCAGTAAGGTGTGCCCCCCTCCAGAAAAAAAAATTCTCTGGGAACATGGTTTTAAGGACTGAGGCAGAAGAATAAAAAGTTTAAAAAGTGATCCCTCAGGAAGTAGGAGGCTGCCTGTTTAGCTTAGGAAAAAGGCTGAGGCAGCTTACTGCGAGTGGGGTACTGATTCACCCTTCTGTACGTTAAGAATAGAGTAGAAGGCAAAGCAGGCTTGATCTAGGAATCTGGACACTTTTCAAGGAAGTATCAACTATGGTTAATCCAATCAATGCCAGTTTTGAAAAGGACGATTTGGCCAAACACATAACTCTGGTCGTGTAAACTTTACAGTCTTTCCGCGAGAGGAAGAAACTCTGGAGATCGCTTGCAACAATTTGCTTCCATAACCAGACTGGAGTCTCGCTGTGAAGCGTCCGAATAACAAGTTCCTGTAGTAGTAATTAATGAATACTAACCGTTGTTGACCGGCTCTACTGTATAAACACCTATTGAACTGACTTGTACGTTTTCATTAAATACATCTGCCCAAGGAGGTGGAGCTCCTAACTCAAATGCTTAAGAGATTGCTCATTTTCACATTCACTTTGATTTTGTCTGAAGTATAACCATTCTTTGGTCTACATTGATATCAGCAAAGCACCAAAATGATTTGGTAGAGGCTACTGCACATGAAGAATCTTTACAGAGATCATACATAGCTCCATAACTTCCTTGTTCATTGGCAGTGTTTTCATGTTTATTCAATGAACTTATATTTCGGATCTCATCTTTGCAGGTCATTTGACAAAAAACAAACAAACAAACAAAAGACACTTTTTATATAGATTCAGCTAAGGTCCTAAAAATTAATCTCTGATTGTTAGTCCAAATATAATTATCTCAAAAGTACTTGAGAGGACTTATAGGGATAATATGTGAAAAAAGAATGTGATTTCTTATACTTACATTTAATCAAATCTTGTCCTTTCTACTATGTGTTATGTGTGTTCTTGCTTGCTTCCTGCAATAGTTTCATTAAGAGATACTGAGCTTTTAGGAAGATAACATTTAGAGGCTTTTAGGATGACAACATTTTTGACAGATGTTGCTAAAATGCACATGTCAGAGAGGAAAATTGAGATTTAACCACTTCACAATTGTTTTGTCATTTCATGTTGTCAGAATATGTTACTTCTGTATATCTCTTCTCATATGTCTTTGACGTTACATAAATGTACCTAAGTGCTAGACATTTAACTTTACTTTTTTCTTCAATAGCCAGGACAAAGGATCTTTGTTTCTGTAACATGGACACCATCAGAAGAAGGGAAAGTCAGAGAACTGGTAACTTTTATTATTAATGGCATCGTAAAACATCAAGTTGTGCTCCTGGGTGTTGCTGAGCAACCTCTGAAGAAAAAGGTATGTGTTTATCATGTGTCTTAATTCTATTACTTTGTCATAGCTGACACAGGTATAGAGCCTGGAAATAACTTACGGTGAATTTTGGACTAGGTGTTCTTTTCACAGTATTTTTAGACTTTGAATGAATACACTAGTAATGTTCAGTTTTACACGTAAAAGTATGTAGAAAGTCAGCATGCTAACTTTTATTACTGGTTCTTTTTCAGAAGAGTCTTTGGAATACTATAAAAAAGAAAAACTCTTCAGGAACATTTGCTTCAATGAAAGTTGAAACAAGTACTTTGAAAGCTAAAAATGTTAATAAAACCTTTCAAGTTTCCCAGGAGGTGGAAAGACTTAGAAGCCCACTTCAGTCATGTGAAAATCAGAACACCATGCAAAGTAATATATCCTCAGGAAATGACTCTCTTGTTGCCTCAGAAAATAAATTGCCAATATCTCCTATTGCACCAGTGCTAGAGGAATGTCGTAATACTGGTGGCACACCGCTTGCAATGAGAAGATCTACTACATTCTCCGATATTGCTGCTGCTGTGAATGAGGCATTACTGCCTGAAATAGACAGCTGTAATGTCAAGAAATGTGCTAATGAGCACAATGAATTAGAATCTGAAAGTGCATACAGTTCTACTGGGTTGGCACAGCCGCTGGTTTCAAACAATGAGGTAATTCTTAATTGTACACTCTCACCAGTGTGCACTCCAGAACATTCAGCATCTCTGCCTGTTGTAAGTACAAGGAGAATTTTAAGTCCAGATTCCTTTGTAAATGGCAGTTATCAAGTGGATATAGATACAATACAGCAGTCTGTTCCAATTCTGTCACCTGATCAGTTTGTGAAAGACAGCTTGTCAGATAAGCAAACCAAGACTCCAAAATTTAAGGCAACTTCAGTGTTGTCTGCTGCAGAGACATATGTTGTAAAGAAATTCCTACCCTCAAAATGGAAAAAAAAAGAAAATGTAGAGACAAAAACACACGTTCGTATAGAACACAGCTTAAATGAAGTCTTTGAGATGCATAATGTAGAATCACAGGTACTTCATCATGACAAACGCAAGGAAAATCACTTCAGTTTTCCTTCTACAGAGGAACTGCAGACCTGCAGCTCTTATCAGAGACTACAACCAAAAAAGCGTCCACTTCTTTCTGCCACTGTCATCAAAAACAAGCCTGATGCTGTTGAAGAAAAAAGAATGGAAATCCTCCAGCCAAAATCTAAAAAGTGCCTTAGTAAAGCAATAATGGAATGTGATAATGTGGTGCCTGTCCATACAAAAGCAGAAATATCTAAATGCCTTCCAGTTATAGGTCTCATTTCAGCTGAAAGTAAGTGCCACAATGACAAAGTAAATTCATCTCCTACTGGATCAACTTTGTGTCGTAAGAGGAAAAGTGAAACACATGCAGAAAATAGTAGAGTTGTGGCTCCAGTGTCTGTGGAAGAAGTGGAAAGAAAAAGAACTCTTACATCTAGTGTGGACAATAAACCGCATACCACTATGAGACCATCAGCCCTCAAACCCACACACCGAGACAGAGTAGGGCAGAGAAAGAAAGCTGGTGAGCAGTATGTCCTTCATTTACCATTTTCTGAAAGATGCCTTTGATTATTAAATTTGTATAGCAAAATGAACTGTCAAGCAACAGTCAACAATATTTCATATCTCTGCAATGTGGGCCTTTGCAATTCAAGAGATAACGGCATTTTAAAACTTGGAGAACTAGGCCAGAGTTTTGGTTATGTAATTGTCTTCAAATTTATTCTTTCATAATCTTTGATAATGATAGTAAGAGGAAAAATACCTGGCATTTCTTGAGTAGAGCACTTGTTATGTAATTCAGTTTTACACGAGTTACACACTGCATGAGATTTGTCATACGTACACTTACCATAGTGAATATTTGACTCTGTTGCTGTTGTCATGTGTTTTCAAATAGGTTTGTTCCCAAATCTCATTCACAGTGGCTTCTGTTTACTGTCTGTAATTTGCTTGTTAAGATAGTGTGTTACGGTTTTGGTCTTCTTAGACTAACAGTGTTCTTGTGCAGCAGGAAATGCTGTGTTATCTGCCAGGTTATTTCTATCATCCATTAGGGTAAGGGTAGATGGGCTCGACAAGGAAATATTCTGTGAGCCCAAAATGATCTTGGTGTCTCTTAATCCTAGTTGTGAAACTCAGAAATGATGACAGCTTTGAGTTACATTCTTCTTGACAATTTTTCTTGAGAAATATAACTTGTTATTCTTTTAATTGCGTAGACATTGTCTCTAGGCTTCAAAAGAAAAACCGTATGTCACTACTAAAAGTTAACTTTGAAATGCCCATCATTAATTTAATCCACTTAACGTTCAACTTTATTAAGCATTATCAAAATGTATTCAAAAGTTATTAGGAGGGATGAGAGACTGGAATGACTTTTTCACTTCTGTAGAAGAGAGTGTTCATGAAAAACACTACTTCAGCTGAGCAGGAAAGTGGAGTGTGTAATCTATCTCTTGTTTCTGAAGTACCACCTTGTCAGGGGTGTCAGGCAGCAACTACAGCCCATCTGCAACAGCATACTTTTTAAATCCACTTGCTGTCAATGTAGCAAAATGATTGTGCTAAGTGTGTATTTTTACATGCTGAGAGTTCAGGAAGTCTAGATCTGCATTTTTTTCCCGTATGTTTTATTTAAGCTCTCCTACTGCTATGTGGTGGGTAATATTTATGAGCTAGTGCCTTGTTGCCTAAACTAACACAAGTCCGGCTGCTCGGAAATGACCATCAATGTAGTATGCCACCTAACTGTGGGAAGAGGTGTCCCAAGCCCTAAGAAGTCATATCTCTCACCCCAGATACTTAGAGAATCCACATTTTCACATCTTCTAATGAATGTTTTTACCAATTAGTTTAGTGTTTCTAGCTTGTGGTAATGAATTGCAGGCAGTACATTTCCTTAGTGTATGGAACAACTATAACTCTTTTTTGCTCTTAACTATTTTTCCCTTTTGATTGTGGTCAAACTGCTTTGCTTAACTCTGTCCATGAACAGATTACAGGTATTTTGTGTGGGTTCATGGGGATTTACTCCAGTTCCATGCTTTATACGTGCTAGGAGCCTTTATATATTAACTTCCATTCATGTATTTGTTGTTGATACCTGTGTGTTAATGCTTGTAGGTACTTCACTTCAGAAAGCATCTAAAACTACCAACAGAATTAGGAAACCCATCCCTGGATTGGCTCAGTCTCACCTGACATTTGTGAAACCACTAAAAACAGGTAGGCAGACTTCTGCTGTTTAGTAAAACAATATACACTGAACTGAATGTCACAGTTGCTGTACAGCTAGTCATTGGTAAGACCCGACTGGTTGGAGTTGAGATGAAATAGAAGATTCTAGCTGCAATGAATCAGTATCTAGTAGAAAAACATACCTAACCTTTCATGTTCCATCTTGACTGCTCATAAGAAAATTAGTTGCAAGACATGGCCAGCTGAAAGTGTTATTTCCTCCTGTTTTGCCTGTAAGGGCCAAAAGCTACATCCTAGCTGACGGTTATCAGTGAAATGCCTCTTCCACTTCTGATAATGTTTTAATACAACAACAGAACACCTAAGAAGAGAAAACTTAGTACCAAAAAAATCTTGATTTTGCTGAGCTAATGATACTAAGTTGATCTGATGAGAAAAATGCATCTACAGAGTGTTTCTTTCTGGATGTAATCCAACTCAACCTGGTTTTGTCCTAAGATTTGCCCTTGGTTTTGCAAAGGGCCTGGGCTTGAGAAGTTTTGTCTTTGTTCTAGTGCTTTATTAACTTAATCCCTGGTTTGTGGCTGAAATTTATTTAATGGTAGATGATCACTGAAGATTCTAACAATCACCTCATTTCTACTACAGTGCTAAATGGACTATCAAACGTCAATCCTTTCCACAATTAAATGCATATTGGTTATCAAACATGTCAAGAACTAGAGAGACTCACTTTTTTTTTTTTTTAAATTAAGCCATTCCTAGGCACCCAATGCCTTTTGCTGCTAAAAACATGTTTTATGATGAGCGTTGGAAGGAGAAGCAGCAACGAGGTTTCACCTGGTGGTTAAATTTTGTACTTACACCTGAAGACTTAAGTGTAAAAACAAACACCTCGCAAGGTAAGAGTACAAGAATTTTCACTGTATCTTTGAAGGTTTGTAAACATTACACAAGGTGCTTTATTAATGTTAATTAATAGTTGTACTAGTTTAAATATATTCTCAACTTGTCACTTTAGTTTGTGTAACATTAAGCGCTTCGGTAGGAGTAGGTTGTTGGGGTCTAATTTTTTAGGTATCACCTGTGTTTCCATTTTCAGCCTGTGACTTCATGCTATGGTAATCATAAACCAGATATTTGGTAATGTGTTTCAGTAGTGACTATGCTAGAAAATATGGAATACGCTCAACCAAAAGCAGTTCTCGCACTGGAGTCAGTCCTGTCCACCCCAGCAGAATTTTGTAGCTTTCTAACCCTTTTCGGGGCCATATTCTCCCCTTGTGGTAAGTGCGGATGGCACAGTTGCTCACTCCAAGCACAACATACCACACACCTGAATGGGTAGTGTGCTCTGCAGCAAGAAATACACACTGCAACATGTGGCTGTGGCACTCCTCAGTGGGTGTTGAGTGGGGAATCCCCACCTGCAGAAAAAAGTTAAGCTGTCACTTTGCTAAAATGATGGTAATGTACTTTTTCCTCTAACTTCAGTCTAAAAAATCGAAGATGGTACAATTAATCTTAAAACTGAATTCCTAGCACTGGTCACTTATGAAATAAGCGTTGTGAAGTATTTGACTATTATACATGTACTTGAAATGTATGTTTAGTGCAGCAGCTGATAAGCTTCCTGAGAGATAAAATCGCTAGTCAGAAAGAAAATAGCAAAATGTGAATTTGGAGAGGAAAAAAATGAATGAGGGGGGTAAAGCTACTTTTATTTGACATGTAAATGCATACTTTTTGTGTATGTTTAAACAGTAAATGCAGCTGCTCTTATCTTGGGAGAAGAAAACTATCATAAAACCAGTGTTCCTAAAGCACCAACGAAAGATGAAGCGTCACTAAAAGCTTATACAGCTCATCGCAAGCTGAATAAATTGCGACGTGATGCTTGCCGCTTGTTTACGTCTGAAACAATGGTGAAAGCTATTAAGAAACTGGAAGTTGAGATTGAAACTAGACGTTTGCTAGTTCGTAGAGACAGACACCTCTGGAAAGATGTAGGTAAGAATACTAAAACTTTGCATCCACTCTTTTGCAAGCAGAAAAAGGGTTGTTCACACACTGGTCTACAGTTGGTTGGTAGAGATCTTTGCTGTAGTATGAAGTGTTTGCTGCATGTAATATTACAAGATCATCTCTTGCAGGTGAGAGGCAGAAAGTCCTTAACTGGCTTTTATCTTACAACCCTTTGTGGCTGCGTATAGGTCTGGAGGTAAGTGCAGAATTTATGGTCTATAATCAGTTTAAAGGACATCTAGCAATTTATTTTAGTATGGAATGTTTCAGGTCTCTTTGTACTCTGTTTAATAATGCAGGTAAGTTCACTTCAGTTATGGCATGTTTACATCTCTTTCCAATTATTACAACAGACTTTCTTTAAAAAAGTGCTTACCTTATTAAAAAGGAAAATGTTTATTCAAGGAAAATGGAAGTTAACTCCCTGATCAATAACACAAAAGTAGTTTCCTATCAGTTTCAATCTTTACTAAACTGGAGAAAAATGCAGTAGTCTTAACAAAGTTTCTGGTTAATTATTCAGATGCAGATGATCATACATGTTTTGAAATGAGACTGGATATTCTGAAATTTCCTTTGGTTTTGTCCTTCAGTGACTGATTTGAAAAACAGATTGATTTTTAGAGACTAATTAACATTACTGAAATAGTAAATGTTATTCAAAAAAATCCTCAGAGTATTTGAATAAAGTTTTAATGGTTTTGCTTTTTTCCCTTCCTTTCATACTAGACCATTTATGGAGAACTGATAGCTTTGGAGAGTAATAGTGATGTTATGGGTTTAGCAATATTTATCCTTAATCGTTTGCTTTGGAACCCTGACATTGCAGCTGAGTACAGACATCCCACTGTGCCTCACCTTTACCGAGAAGGTAACTAATACTTCCGAAAATAGGTTATTTTTAGCACTCAATTTTTGAACTAGCACTTAATGGGTTTTATATTTTTAGGTCATGAAGAAGCTTTGTCAAAATTCACATTGAAAAAATTGCTGTTGTTAGTTTGTTTTCTGGACTGTGCCAAACAGTCCAGAATGATTGACCATGACCCTTGCCTCTTCTGTAAGGATGCAGAGTTCAAGGTAAGAGCTGTGATTTGATGTCTTCCTCCAATATTGTTCTAAGACAAAATGTAGAATATCTATTTTTTTCTGACTATGTATCTTTCTTTTTTTAACAAGTCTTGGGTGTTCAGCCTATTACATGAATGTTCTCAACACATCGTCTCATAGTCATGTAGAAGAACTTCCCAGAAAAACTTTGAGGTGTTGGTCTTGTAGGAAGGACTCCATTGTCTTGTATTAACTACCTTCCGTCCCTAAATATAAGCTTCTTCACTGTTTTTAAGTATCACTCTAGCATACTGCAGCTGATCTTAAACTGCATGTTAGTTTGATGGGCTTTTCTGTTTGGTTTTTTTTATGTTATTTTGCTGTGATGAGGAAGACTTCACAACATCTGTTATGCAAAGGCTTTGATTAATAAGCATGTTCAGATAGAATTGCCTCTTCTTGGGTTTGTACTGTGTAGTCACACAGACTGAGAAAAATGTATTCCTGAATGTGGTGATGCTTTCAGTGATGTGGTAGCCAGGGACGATGAAAATCAAAACTGTGTGAACTGGCTAAAAATAAATTTAAAAAAAAAAGTATTGGGTAAAGAAATATGGAATACAATTCTGGGGACAAGTGATGAAAATTGTTTTCTGCTTGACAAATATTGCAATGTTAAGAATTAATCTTTGTTTTTTTCCTTTTTCTTTTAGGCTAGCAAAGACCTTCTGCTTGCATTTTCTCGGGACTTTCTGAGTGGCGAAGGCGACCTTTCCCGTCATCTTAGTTTCTTAGGACTACCTGTCAGTCATATTCAAACTCCACTTGATGAATTTGATTTTGCTGTAACCAATCTGGCTGTGGACTTACAATGTGGCATTCGTCTTGTGTACGTTGATACAGAATTATTTTGAACTGTTTATTTTCTTTTGTGTAATACTTAATATAAACTGAGGTGAGACATTAAACAGTGAAATTCCCTTTGTTAGGAGAACAATGGAACTCCTCACCAAAAACTGGAATCTTTCAAAACAACTGAGAGTTCCTGCAATAAGTCGTCTACAGAAGATGCATAATGTTGAAGTTGTTCTTAATGTCCTTAAAGAGCGAGGAATTAACTTGAAAGATGAAAGTGGTAAGTTCTAGAAATCCGGGTTATTACAAGTGTATCAGAAGGCTAGTGCACTCTTTAATTCCTTGTTTTATTTGGTAGGTGTGTCAATTGACTCCAGGGATATTGTGGACAGACACAGAGAACGAACATTAGCACTGCTTTGGAAAATAGTCTTTGCTTTCCAGGTATTATTCAATTACATATTTTCTTTGGTTGATACTAATTACAAATGAGAAATAATGAAAACACCATTCCTTCCAGAGTATTTGTTATCTGTGAAATCCTGTACTAATTGAATTTTAGATGATACGATGAATCGTGATGCAATGAACTTTATATGTTTAAAGAGCCATACATACTACATAAATCTGCTAACTGTTCCCTAACAATACAGTTTAGGTTATATTTATCTGTGCTTTTTCTTGTATACATTGATACAATTTTTTTGCTAAAGCTTTGAGTTTTTGCTGTATGCCAACAGAATGGACAATTAAGGGTAAAATAATGTTGGTCTCAAAATACTGGTACGCTCTTACTAACTGAAACGGACATTTGAGGTTACACTAATAGCAGTGGTAGAGTAAGCTCCAAAGCTATATAGCTATTCTACTTTTTTCCACTTGTCTGGAACAGTCAATTTGAAGAAACATTCTTGAAATAAGAATGAAGATTTCTTAGCTGTTACCTCAATGGCATTTCATAGGCGCTGGAAAAAAAAATATGGTAGGGGAAGCAAAAATAGTGTTCTTAAGACTGTTTTAAGGGTTAACTTGAGTCAGGTACTTAATTTCAAAAGACTAACTTACCTGACAAATCCAGTTGGAAGAAACATAGGGTGTGAAAGTCAAGATACAAGTTGAGTTGGAATTTCACCAGTAGGTAGTCAGGAATATAAGTACAATTAACTATATCTAAAGCAAGAATTCTGAATACTATAGCCACAGAACTATCAGTGAGTCAGAATAACGTAATAAAACTAGAATGTAACTACTTTTTTTATTTAACTACTGTTACAGTGTTGACTGGTTATCTTTCTCCAGTTAGTTCTCCTGTATGCCTGTGTCACAGCTGCATTGCTTTTGATTAAACAGTAATTTCAGTGAGCAGTGGCTTAACCCAAGCCCTGTGGATATGCTACTTGTTCTCCAAATCCTCTCACACTATCAACCCAGCTTAAGTCCTCTCGGAATCCCTTAAATGAGGTGGAGCAGTACACACACTGAGTAGCAATGGAGGCGAGACGCTGAAATTGTTGTTTACTCTGAAAGTATGGTGAAATTACGCAAGCTGTTTCAGGGAATTTCTTTGTTTCCCTCAACTATTGACTGATGAAGTTACCATTTTACACAGAACAGTGGGAGTGTGGTTTTAGGTTCTTTTATTTGAAGCAGTTGGTAGTGGACACTGCCATATATGCTGTCAAATCCAGATTATCTACTACTGATTCATTGTGGTAGGTACTGTTAAGTAGTGAGACTATTTCTCTTTAAAATGCCGTATCTAAATCTTCTGTATCCAGCTGCTATAATGCATGACATGTCAGGCTGGTGGTGATGTAAATAGAATTTTTTTTCTTTTTCTTCCTGATAGGTGGATGTTTTTCTTAATGTTGAACAGTTAAAAGAAGAAATTGAGTTTTTAAAAAGCGTACGCAAGAGGAAAATACAATTGGGTGCTTTCAAGACTTTTCCAAATTCTTGTAGAGTACAAGAAGATAACAGTGATATCTCCTCAACTCAAAGTTACAGTGAAAATGTGAAGCTGCTGATGGCATGGGTTAATGTTGTTTGTGGATTTTACAATATAAAGGTAAATAGTGTTGTGTACATTTCAGCAAGTACATCATTTGCTGTTATAAGAATGCTTATTTATAGAGCAGAATTCTTCAAACTATCAAATATGTAGTAGCAGCCAATGGTAATTTGTTTTACATATCCTTCTGGACTTCGTTTAATCTAATTTGAAATAACCATCTTTCTGTGTGTTTAGCTGCAGCTTTCTTTTTAAATAAATCTGAACAAAAGGTTCTCTCCTTCCAGTAGTCTTATGCATAAAGATGCCCTTTAAAAATGAAAAATTTTTGCAGGAATATGGGGTTGTTTGAGTGTTTGATTTTTTTTTTTTTTTTTTTTTTAATGAGCATTAATCCATTAGTATTTGCACATAAAATTTTCACTGTTTATAGAAACTGTGAGAGTTAAACTGATGCTTAGGATAAGGGCAATTCCTTTCCTCAAAGAAAAAGGAATTTCTTTAGAGAAAGGACATGTTGTTTATTCTTTCCAAGAAGAGCAGCCCTTTTCAGACACGTGTCAGAGTACACTCACACCTGGTAGTTTTTCTGAATGGTAAAATAGGGCATTTAAGACTGATGCAAGTTCAGAACCTATTTCTGGAGTGAATAACCGGTGTAAAGGTGTCTATAGAAGTTTCCTTGGGATCCTTCTGTAGAAAGATTGCTTTCTTTTTAGTTTCTTAAATATTCCCTTGAGGATTCACTGTACAGTGATTCACACATCTTTGTTTCAGGTTTCTCACAGCTGTATGTCACTGTGAAGTGAATGTTCAGAGGAAGAACTAGCTACATTTTATTTTGTTAAAAATAAAAACAAAAACAAACTGGTAACTGGTCACTTTCAAAGGGACAAGATAAACTCTATATTCACTTTATACCAATTTTCTGGTAACAAAAATTCAAGGAACTTGTATCTTACTGTATTTTATTTAACAGGTGGAAAACTTCACAGTGTCTTTCTCAGATGGTAGAGTATTATGTCATTTGATTCATCATTATCATCCATGTTACATGCCTTTGGAAGCTGTGTGCCAACGTACAACTCAAACAGTGGAATACTCAAGAACTCATAAAGTGGGACTAAATTCTTCCTCCTCATCCTCTTCAGAGTCTGATACTTCTCTAAATGTTATGGAAGGAATGTTTGACAAAAGTGAGTTACTTGATACACAGAAGTTCATGTTAAATCTACTTATTTCATGCACAATTTAATTTGACAAACATTTTCTCTTTGCGAAACTCTAACTACCTCAGTCCTATACAAGGAGCTCTTGGACAATGAAAGGAAAAACTTCCAGCTGATCAGTGCTGCAGTCGCTGACCTGGGTGGAATACCAGCAATGATGCATCACTCGGACATGTCAAATACAATTCCTGACGAGAAGGTAAGATGCCTTTAGAGTTATGTAAACATGTTCTGCTTTCCTGCAAACGTGTCCTGCTCTTTCATATCGCTCTTAACTTGCTGTGTTCTGTGTTTATATAGGTTGTTATTACCTACCTGGCATTTCTGTGTTCACGGCTTCTAGATCTTCGGCGAGAAACTCGAGCTGCACGATTAATTCAGTCTGTTTGGAGGAATTATAGTCTGAAAAGGGAACTGAAACTCTCTCAGGTACTTTCTGGCTGTGCAGTGTTCATAGCTTTTACTTTTAGAAAACCACAACATAAATGAAGAATACAAATTCACTGTTTGGAGTATACAGGTTTATTAGAATCATATTGGCATTTAAATTAATGAGTACCATTTTTATTATACATATATATATGGCTGCTCTAGTAGTGTAATCTACTAAAAACACTTCAATTTAAAGACTATTCTGAAGTAATTACATTTGCTTAAAGGCTACTTTTTCTTGTGTTCCACTTAAGGCATGTCATCTCTTAAGCCCTTTTCCCAATATTTCAAATATAAAATAGCTGCACTACTTCCTTAAAACAAAAAGGGAGTAGTTAAGTTTTGATTTCTGTTAATGTCTACAAGATGAAAAGAGTAATTAAACTTCTGCATGGGTTTACTACTTTTGTTCAGGAGCTAAATTCACTAGTGTTGAGTATCAAAGAGGAATAATAATTGAGTATCAAAGAGGAATAATTACGAAGGTAGGAGGATGCAGATTTAAGTGATACCACCCTTTTACAAAGAACTCTCTGCAGAAATAAATATTCTGTCTCAGAAAAGTTCTTCTACTGGAATAAAGAAAAGCTCTGGTACCAATAAGCCTAATTTTTAAGATATTGTTTTAAATAGCTTTAATAGATCAAAAATCTGAGTGACCTTTCTAATCCTGACTGTTTAGTTGAAATTTACTCTTTGTAGGAAAGAGACAGAGCTGCTCGGGTAATTCAAAAGTCTGTAATAAACTACTTGTCTCGTCGACGCTTCATGAAGAAAGTGAATGCAGCAGTTTTCATCCAGAAGCACTGGAGAAGATACTTGGCCAGGATGACTTTTTTAAATCTGAAAAAGACAAAACTGGAGGAAGCCAGAAGTAAATGTGCCACAGTCATACAGGTAATATGATCTGAAGTGAGATTATGCAGCAAGAAAACCCTCTGAAACCTGTAAGAAAAAGGCTTGCTCAGGGTCATTTGTTCTGCTTGCAGCCACTGATGTCTTCATGAAAGCATAATACTATTTTATTTTTTTTTTAACCCCCAGCTGGTTTTGAGATATTTTTGTAACTTTCTCATTTCAGAGAGAAATAATGTGCTATTAAATCTACAGTTGTTCCTTCTTAGTGAATATTTTGGTATACCATAAACTTTTAAACAACTAGGCCTCAAACCAGTCAGTGTAAAGACTGATCCGGTTGTGCTGGTTTGCCTCTCTGCAACTGCTTGACCACTACTTAAAGAGGCTTTAAAAAGAAAAAAAAACAAAACCAACAACCAACAAAACCCTGAAGCTCTCCTAGTGTTATGACACCTGCAGTGGGCACATTCAGAAGGGCTGTCATTAGTTACCAATTGGTAGTTGGGCAGTTAATTCAGTTTCTCAAGATACTTTCCCCACTATTACCCAAAGCAACATATTATTGTCTTAAGACTTTTTGGAATGGAGATTAAAGAATCACTGATTTGTCAGTAGTTTAAAAGGGAATCTTTTGTTGCCAGGGCAAATGTAGCTTTTTCCCAGAATTTAAAATGCTTAAAAAAGCAATGAATCAAGCATTTGAGTTTTTCGTTTTATATGTAGATAGCTGGGCTTATCTTTGTAGAGATTGAGTAGGAAGAAAGAAATCTTAAAAGGTGTGAGGTCCACAAATTTAGGCTTGAGATACCGTGAAGAAAATACTAAATCTTATGTTTTTTTCCTGCAGGGTTATTGGAGGAGATACTCTGCTAGGAAAAGATATTTACAGCTAAGACACTACGTTATTGTTATACAAGCAAGGATAAGGATGGTGAAGTCTGTTGCTGCATATAAACAAATTGTTTGGGCTACTGTTACAATCCAGAGTCATCTGCGTGCATCCAAGTGGGCAAAAAGAGATCGGCAAAGATACGAAATCTTAAAGTCTTCAGCGCTTACTATTCAGTCTGCCTTCAGAAAATGGAGAAAACACAAAATGCAACGGAAAATTAAAGCCGCATTAGTGCTTCAGACTTATTTCCGAAAATGGCAATCTTCACAATTGGCGAAAAGAAAGAGGGCTGCCCTTGTCATACAGTCTTGGTATAGGATGCACAGATCTCGGAAGTGGTATCTGCTTATTAAGCAAAGTGTTATCAAGATTCAGGCTTGGTACAGGTGTCACCTGGCTAGATGTATTTACCAGCAACACAGGGCAAAAATAGTGACCATTCAGCAGTATTGCAGAGCTTATAAACTAGGAAAAACTGAAAGAGAGTACTATTTGCAAAAGCGTGCGGCAGCAGTAGTTCTCCAAGCTGCTTTTAGAGGCATGAAGGCACGCAAACTCTACAGACAAACAAAAGCGGTTTGTGTTGTACAGTCACTGTGGAGAATGAAAAAAGAAAAGCTAAGATTTCTAAGGTTAAAAAAATCTGTTACTACATTGCAGTCACACGTCAGAAAATACCAACAGGTAAAAAGATACAAAGAGATTAAAAATGCTGCTTCTGTAATCCCAACTTGGTATGGGGAACATTTAATTTCTGAAAAAGCAGCTGTTTCTTTCCAGAGGATGCACTTGGCTGCTATTGTCCCAGAATCTGCCTACAGTGGAATGGAAGCTAGGAGAGAGGCTTGCATATTGAGATCTGTGATAAAAATTCAGTCAAGCTACCGTGCTTATATTGCCTGGAAGAGATTTAAAATCTTGAAAGATGCAACTGTGAAGATTCAAGCTTTTGTAAAGATGAGGCAAGCACGTAAGCATTATTGTGCTTTAAGGGAGGCAACACTTTATGTCCAGCGAAGGTATCGGTCTCATAGATACGCTCTTCAGCTTAAAGAAGATTATAGGAAAGGGAAGGCAGCTTGCATAAGAATTCAAGCTGTAGTTCGAGGCTATCTTGTCAGGAAACAGATACAAAGGTGGAGGGTGTCTGCAGTATTTCTCCAGGCACACTACAGAATGAGAAGGGACAGGCAACGTTATTTAAGCATCTATTGTGCTGCTGTTGTCATTCAAAAATATTATCGTGCATACAAAAAGCAACTGAGTCAGAGGCAGGAGTTCTTGCGAGTTAAAAAAGCAGCCGTGTGCTTACAGGCAGCCTACAGGAGTTATAAAGCACGTGAAAAGCTTAAACTTAAACATAGAGCAGCGATTAAGATCCAGACTGCTTTTAGAGCTCATGCTGCACGAACGAAATACAAGGCAATGGTTCAGGCCTCCATTGTGATTCAGAGGTGGTACAGAACTTTTAAGATTGGTAACAGGCAAAGACTGAACTTCTTAATGACAAGAGCAGCAGTCCTTTCTTTACAAGCAGCTGTTCGTGGCTGGAAGGTACGAAAGCAGATTCAAAGACAATGTGTTGCTGCTACCCGGATACAGTCTGCCTTCAGAAAATGCATGACTCGGAAAAAATTCAGACTTATGAACCGTGCTGTGCTAACAATCCAAAAGCATTACAGAGCCAGTGTTGTAGGCCAGAAACAACGGCAAGAATATGTTCAGCTGCGTAACTCTGCAGTGCATCTTCAGGCAATATGGAGGGGGAGAACTGTGAGAAAAATGATTCAAAAGAAACATTATCTTGCAACAGTTATTCAGTCCTATTACAGAATGCATGTAAACCAACTAAAATATAAGAGACTGAGACAAGCTACTCTAGTGATTCAGACATACTTCAGAGCTTACTGTATGAAAAAAGCCCAACGTGCAATTTATCTAAAAACAAAGGTAGCTGTGCTAGTCTTGCAGTCTGCTTACCGGGGGATGACTGTGAGGAAACAGTTGAACAAGCTAAACAAAGCTGCTACAACTATACAAGCTGCCTTCACCTCTTACATGGTCAAAAAGGACTATGAAAGACTTAGATCTGCAGCTATAGTAATTCAAAGGCATTATTGTTCAGTTGTTCGTGTTAGATGTCAAAGGCAGAAATACTTGTCTTTGAAAAAAACCACAGGCAAAATGCAGGCTGTTTATAGAGGTGCAAGAGTTAGACGACAGATTCGCTGTATGCATCGAGCAGCTGTTTGTATCCAAGCCACGTTTAAGATGCATCGCATGAACATAAAATATCGGGCAATGAGAATGGCAGCAATCACAATTCAAAGACGATATAGAGCATTTTGTTTGGGCAAAGTGCAACGTAAGAAGTACTTGGAACTGAAGAACTCTATCATTATCCTTCAGGCTGCCTGTAGAGGCGCGAAGGTCCGCCAAGACTTAAAAACTAGGCATCAGGCAGCAGCAATAATACAGTCTTATTATCGAATGCACAAACAGCAGAGGGATTTCAGAAAATTGTTGCTGGCAACTAGGCAGATTCAGCAGTGGTTCCGCGCTTGTAAAGAGCGAGATACACAAGTTCACAACTATACGATTCTGAAAAGTGCTACACTTCGTATCCAGGCTGCGTTCCGTGGTATGAAAACAAGACGACTTACAAGAACTATGAGCGAATCGGCAGAGCTTATTCAAAGAAGATTTAGAACTTTTCTTAAAAGAAAACACTTTCTTTCCCTTAAGAGAGCTGCTATTGTAATTCAGAGAAGATACAGAGCAATGAAACTGGCAAAAATTCAGCGTCAAGAATATCACTCCGTATCCAGGCTGCGTTCCGTGGTATGAAAACAAGACGACTTACAAGAACTATGAGCGAATCGGCAGAGCTTATTCAAAGAAGATTTAGAACTTTTCTTAAAAGAAAACACTTTCTTTCCCTTAAGAGAGCTGCTATTGTAATTCAGAGAAGATACAGAGCAATGAAACTGGCAAAAATTCAGCGTCAAGAATATCACTCTTTACATACAGTCTGCTTATAGAGGCTTTGTGGTAAGAAAAAAAATACAGCAGATGCATCAAGCTGCTACAGTTATTCAAGCAACGTTAAGAATGCGTAAAATTTACATTTCTTATCAAGCTGTCAGACTTGCTTCAGTAATCATACAGCAACGTTATCGTGCTTACAGGGAAGGAAAGCGTGTGAGACAAATATACTTAAAACTGTACAATTCTGTTTTAGTTCTTCAGGCTGCATATAGAGGGATGAAAACAAGATGCTTGTTGAAGAAAAGACATGAGGCAGCACTTACAATACAGAGAAACTATCGAATGTATAGGCAGTACTGCCGTTACAGAAAAGTTCAGTGGGCAACCCAGCTAATACAGGAGAGGTACAGAGCAAATAACCTGAAGAAAATTGCAGTACAGCGTTACTCTTCATTAAAGAAAGCAGCAACTTGTATTCAGAAGGCTTTTCGAGACATGAGAGCAAAACGACATCGAGCAATGCACTGTGCTGCTATTGTTCTTCAGAAAAATTTTAAAGCTTTTAGAGAACGTCAAAGGTATCTCTCTCTTAAAGCAGCTACTCTAGTCTTTCAGAGAAGATACAGAGCATTGGTTCTGTCAAGACAGTGTACTTTGGAGTATCTTTCTCTTCGCCGAGCAACTATTTATGTACAGGCTGTGTACAGAGGTGTCAGGGTGCGGAAGCGTATTGAGCGCATGCATTTAGCTGCTGGCACAGTACAGTCAGCCTACAGAATGCACAGGAGTAGGAGGTCCTATCAAAATATGAGGGTTGCGGCTATTGTTATACAGAACTATTATCGATCCTACGTTAAAGGAAAGACTCAACGAAAGAAATACATGACAATGAAGAATTCTGCTCTTGTTATTCAAGCCTCATACAGAGGCATGAAGGAACGACAAAAGCTGAAAGTCATGCATGTTTCAGCAACTGTAATACAGTCTAGTTATCGCATGTACCTGCAGCATAAATATTACAAACAGTTGTGTTGGGCTGTCAGAGTTATACAGCAAAGGTTCAGAGCCAAAAAGGCAAAAGAAGCTGACATGGAAAAGTGGGCAAAAATAAAAAAGTCTGTCATTTGCCTTCAATCCGCTTTTCGCACTAAAAAATCTAGGCAGTTGCATAAAGCCAATGTTGCTGCACGCTGCATACAGTCATTCTTAAAAATGTGCGTAGAGAGGAGGCGTTTTCTTGCAAAGAAAGCAGCAGCAATAATGATCCAGTCTATCTTCCGATGCCAAAGAACAAGGACTCGCTATAAATTGATTCGGAGTTCAGCAGTTGCTATTCAGAGGTGGTACAGAGCATGTCACCAGGCTCGTTTACAGAAAGCAGAGTATTCTGCTCAAAGACAAGCAATAGTAATTATTCAGTCTGCCTTCCGTGGTATGAAAGCAAGAAAAATTGCAAGACAAATACGAGCTGCAAGAAAGATTCAGTCTTTTCTTCAGATGGCTGTGCAGCGTAGAAAACTTACTCAGCTTAGAAGAGCAGCTACTACCTTACGAGCCTATTACTTAATGCATAAAACTAAATCACAGTATACAAGCTATAAAAAAGCAGCAGTTGTCTTACAACGATGTTACCGATCCCACTTGGCTGTGAAACACCAAAGAATGGCTTACTTACAAACCCGGAGGAACATTATCATTGTGCAGGCTAGAGTCAGAGGATTCATAGAAAAGAAGAAGTTTCACAGAATTAAAGACAGCACAATAAAGATTCAGGTACTTTTTAATGTATAAAAGTGGATTTTGGTGGTGGGTTTTCTTTGTGTGTTTTTAATTAAGATTAATGCTCTTTCAAACAACAGTTTAAAGCTGTATATTAAAGTGGAATCTATTTCTGAAGTATACTACATGGCAGTTGTGCAAAGCTTCCTACCGCAGTGCACAAAAATGAGTCTCGCTTCAGCTGTTTTGTGTTTTCTTGCTGAGGTGCTCATCTTAAAAAGTGATGTTCTCTTTTTCTCGTTTCTCCCCCAGAATTTTACTCCTTCAAATGAGTTCTGATACTTGTTTCTGTGGTTGTTCTAAGAAAATATTTGTCATAACTGGCTTTCACCTGTATAAGCATTAATAGCTTAATGAATGTTTTCTTAAATTGGAATGTGAATGAAAGCTGTCTTGACATATTGAAATTAGTAGTATTGGATATAAATTGAAGTAAATGGCAAAAAAAGGAATCACTGCTACAATCTTTAAGTCTAAAATTTAGGAAGGCATGAATACAATAATCATGTGCTTTAAGGTTTGTTAAGTGGCCCTAGACTAATTTGAGAGCCTAGCTAACTTTTTGAAGAGGAGTGTAAGGAGAGAAATTGCATTTTTATTGTATGTTTCGCTTGGTACCTTGAGTGGTGCCACGTGAAACTTAATATAAAACTGGATGTATGATTTCTCAGAGGTGCTCTAGGAATTATATCTAGTAGAAGTTTTCCCAGCCCATGGCAGAGGGTTTGGAACTAGATGACCTTTAAGGTCCCTTCCAACCCTAACCATTCTGTGAAGTGGGACGTGTTTAGTTGTTTTCCTTCCATCACTGAAGCAGTAAAAGTGTGGTTAGCAAGAAGTAATGAGAACTGTTCTTTGTAGCAAGCTAAATATCAATCCAGTGTGAGTTTGAAGAAGCTTAGAAAACTAGTTACTCTGAAGTGCCTTTTTTTTTTTTTTTTTAAACAAGGGATGAAGATATATTTCCTTCTTCTTTATGTTAATTATGAATTGTATGTAGTAGGAGTACACTCTTTTTTTCCTTCAGGGAAAAGCCCTGAGTAACTTCCTGTGTTGTCCTTGGTTATTTTATCCCAAGGGAAGCAGTGTCTCTTCAGAGTATTATTAGAATTAAAGGCTTTTTTTCCCCTCAAATCAGGGAAGAAAGGGAAATAAATAATCTCTCATTATAATTTCTTAGCTTGCTATTACTGTCTTGCTGGAGTGCATGTGTTCTACTTAACAGATAGCAAAACAAGTGTGCCTTCCTCATTCCCACGTTTTGGGGGAAGTGGGAGCTTTTTAGTTATTTTCTGAATGTTTAACTAGTATATCCTGAACAATATGATTACTTTGCTTAAATAATAGAAGAGAATTAACTGGAAATCAGAAATGTATTTACTTATATTGTTTTTTCTAACAAGCTAGTGAGGACAGCCGCACTTTAAAATATGCAAACACCTTCCCAATCAATACCATGCAAGCGGTGAAATATTCCAAGATTATGTCCTTTTCTTTTAAGGCATTTTTCCGTGGATTTATTGAGAGACAGAAATACCTTCGATGCAAGTTTTCGGCTGTATTAATACAACAGCACTACAGAGGCTATCGGATGCGAAACATTGAACAACAAAGGTACCATCAAATGAAAAGAGCGGCCATTAGAATTCAGGTAAGCCCAGAAGGTGGGGCTTTTTTGTTGTTGTTCTATTTAAATCTTTCTTGTATTTGTTTCTTCATGACATAATTATTTTTACAGACCTTAGAGTGGCATTTGTGATATTTCCCTGAATGCATTTCACTTGCTTAGAAAATATCTAGATGGGAGGAGTTAAATATGTGTAGACATAGGAATCCTAAAAGCCTTGCATGTTAATGTGACTTTTTTTCCTTTTAATTTTGTCTTTTTATTCAAAAAAAACCAATCAAGGGTGTCATGTGCGTTTCTTTGTTGTTGGTTTTATTTTGGTTTTTTTTTAATAGGCATCATATAGAGGATATAAAGCCAGGAAGTGGGTTAACAAAATAAGAGCAGCACAAGTAATTCAAGCCTGGTTTCGAGGCTGCAGAGCACGAAAGGAATATGCATGTGTGCTAAAAGCGATACGTGTTATTCAGGGTCACTTCAGAGCAAAACTGCAGCGGACTTGGTAAGACTGAATTTGCTATAAATTTCTCTACTTTTCAAAGCTTTTATTATATAACTGAGTATTGCTTGCAGTCTAGCAAATGCCTACTGATTCTCAGGCACTGCATGTGGGATTATTCTTTGAGACAAGCTTTTTCTTAAATATAAGTACTTTTTTCTCAACTGGAAGCTATCTCACAAATCTAAATTTTGTGTCTTGGGTATCTAGAAAGAGTAGGCCTTTTTTTATTTACAGGAAACATGTTGTTTTATGCCAGAATTTTAAGAATATCTAGTAGGATGAAAAACTATTTCATTATAATGCATAATGGAAACTAGTTTGTGTGTTGTTTTGCTGTGAGATGGTTTTAAAATAAATGATCTACTAGATTAGCCTAATATCTCATCTCATTCAGAATTCTGTCCTCTGCCAGTGGCAGTAGAAGATGCAGTTTACGGAGAGTATGTTAACCTGACTATTTTCTGAGGTCATCCCTTGGCATCCATGGTTGTTATATTATGGATGAGAGAATTTACATCCTTGCCTCTTCCCTTTATTATCCTTTTATGGCCTTGTTGTATGTCAGTCTGTCTGTCTAATGACTTTTAAACTGCTGTCTCTCTCCCCCAGCCTCCTTTGGCAGCAAGTTCTGGAAGTCTGTATTGTGGGAAAACTGAAAGTATTTTCAATTTTACACCAGTCTTTCTGCCAGTATTGCTGGTTATTCCCTTGGTATTCCAAGATTTGGCTGAGGACAGCTCTGCTTTTGTAACTTCTGTCTTAATAATTTTGTAATTATTAAACCGTCAATGTTTTCTTGTTTTAAATATGCAAGTGTTCTGAACTTTTGGAAAAAAAACCTAAAATACATTTTCATGTTAGGTTTTTGAAAATGAAGTTCTGTGCACTTACCATTCAGAGGAGATGGAGAGCAACCCTTACTGCACGAATGATTCAACATCAGTTTCTGGCAACTAAGAATGCTGCAGTTAAGATTCAGTTGGCATATAGACAGTACAGGGCTGGAAGACTTTTAAAAAAGGTATGTTTTCACTTGCACTCTCCTAAGTCATGGCTGTTTTCAAAGTTGTCAATGTATTTACATGATTTTTGTCATCAATATGCAGAAGTGTAGAAAATAAAAAGGTGAGGCCAGAACAAAGACTGTTCAGATCAAAACTGTTCAGTCTTCAAAATATTAAATTTCCTTTATGCTTTGAACAATGAGGTTGATTATTATTATTTTTGAAGAGTTCCAATTGTTGAATTACTCCTGTCTATACTGATAACAAGACAAAATGTAAAAATTTCTGCCAGCTTTATTGCTTACAAAGGATTATGTTAAATTGGCCATATTTTGACCATGTTTGACCACAGGTATGGGAAAAGACCTTCCAAATTACAAAAGTGTCTTTTTATATAAACTAGTACTATATGAGTTGGCTTGTATTTTCCGTTTTATTTTTGTTCTTTTTCTTATTTTAGGGTGTTTATTTTCCATCATATAAGTATTTATTGTTAATTATTAATGCGATCTTTAAAATCTTTTTCAAAAGCTTCAAGCTGCACGTTTGATACAAAAAGCATACAGAGGTTTCATGGCAAGGAGGAAACTTGTTCAACAAAAAGCTGCTGCTGTAATTATCCAAAAGTATATGAGGGCTTGGCAGGAAGGCAGGTTTCAGTATATGAAATACAACAAAACTAGAAGAGCTGTCATTAAACTGCAAGCAGTTATACGGGGCTATTTAGTCAGAAAAAAGGTTGGTATACTTCAAATTAAAACTATACTTTTAATGTACATTAGCTCTAGAGTTACTTTAGCATTAATTCTGTCTGGCAAGAAAGGAAAACCTGTTCACTTCTTGAATTCAAATTCTTGTTGACTGTTTTGAGAACTGGGTGGTCAGAATAGAACAAAATATCATTTGAGCCTTTTCTCACAATCCTGTAGTACTATAAAATAGGTTTTCATTGTTGGGTGTTTTTTTTTAGCATTGTGGTTTACCTATAACATACTTCTGCACACAGGCTTACAATGAGACTGTTCTCTGCCACGTATTAATGGTGTTGGTTACAAACACTTGTCTGTGTTGTTGTTTAGCAACCTGGTACTGAAGAAAGGTAGCATACTTAGGTCTGAGGTAATGACTTCTGGGGCAGTTCTTCAGCGTATATTGCTGGGTATGATAGTCTTTGCATAGACAATCAGCTACCTCTGAGTATGAAAATTACCAATGTACCTTGTTTTGTTTTCATTCTACAGATCTCAGAACAGAAACAAAAGAAAAGGCTACTTTATTTTACATCAGCTGCATATCATCATATTTCTGCAATTAAAATTCAAAGAGCGTATAGGACTCACCTCCTCTTAAAATTTGCACAAAACCAGAACTCATCTGTTCTTATAATACAGGTTAGTCTAAATAAGGATGAATGATTTTGTGTAACATAATTTAATGTCTTTTTTGTCAGCTAAGCTATAGCACTAAGACACTGCAGTTCTTTCACATGCAAAAATAAAGCTAAATTGTGAAGACTATTATTAAATAATGCTGCTTATACCCAGCTAAGCATAATAGATTGGGTCCCAGCAGGCTCTGGAGGCTTAAGCATTTGAAAGCTGAAGATGGATGGGAAAGTTTCTTTCCTTCAAACCCTCAAGCTTGCTAAAGCAATCCGAGTTGCTAATTTATAGTCTTAGCCTATTTCTATATGTCCTACTGGAAGTAGGAAAGATCAGACAGGACACAACCTGTAAGGCTTATGAAAGGAAGAGTATCTCCTTACATGAATAATCCTGTGGGATACAGTGATTTATTTGCTTGGATGTTTCTAACTTGCAAGTGGTACCAGAGCCTGCCTGAGTTGCAGTAGTTTTAATATAACCATGTTCTACTTCTCCAAAATGAAGACGAAAAATCAGGTCTGTATTGCAGCAGTGCCTAATAGTAAAAATTATCTTCAGGTCTCCAAAGTGACCGTTAGCTTAGGCCCAGTAGTGGAAGGTCAGGATTAGATAAATGGAAAGTCTGAAATGGGAATCCTAAAATAACTGTTCTCTAGTCAAGGGTGTTATGGTAAACCTTGCCCCACTATTTTTCCGTATATACAGATGTTACGTCTCCCCATAAGTTACATTTTCCCCTTAAGACAAAAGCAAAGGGATGAAAGAAGGGGGTTTTTTTGCTCCAATTTGACATTCAGTACCTTGTCTGTCTTCTCTGTATATGGAGGGGAAGAAACAGCTGGGAAATTTGTAAAGTAGAGTACGTGGTGGTTCTCATTAAAAGCCAGCTTTGCTGGTTTAAATCAGGAAAGAGTTAACTCTCTTCACAGTGGCTGGTATGAAGCTCTGTTTCTGGATTTACTCCAAGAAAAGTACTGATAAGGTGTCTTTTTAGCTGATACTGGGGAACGCTTGCACCAAATTGAAGGTCTCTCTCAGCTTCTGATACTGCAGCTGCGCTCCCAATTCTCTCTACAGGCAGTGTAGGGGACACACAGGTCAGACAGCTGACCCCGACTGACCAAGGGATTATTTCATTCCATAGTACGTCATGCTCAGGGCATAAGCAGTGAGTGGGTTCGAAGGCCATCACACTTCCACTGTCTTTATGCTCTTTTGCTGGCCTCTTAACTCTTTTGTTAGCTGCTTTGCTAACTCCTTTGCTGGCTTGTTCATGAGTGAGTTGACGGGTCTATTAGTTTTCACGGTCGTGCTGTTGCTGATGGGGTTCGCTCGGACTCTGCTGCAATCGCTCTTGGGCTCTGGCTCTCTGGCTCTGACTCTTACTTCATGGGACCTGTCTGTGCATCAGTCAGCAGTTGGTAAGCAATTGTATCATATGTTTTATTTTCTATTATTTTAATTACTTACTATTAGTAGTATCTGTATGTATTTATATTATTCAATTAGTAAATAGTTCTTATCTCAGTTTTACGAGCTTCCTTGTCTCTTTCTTCTGATTCTCCCTCTATGCTGGAGGAAGGGGGGGAGGTGTGAGAGCAGCTTTGTGGTATTTTTGGTGGCTGGAGTTAAACCACGACACCAGCCAAGAGAAAGAAAACTGCTAGGATGGAGTTATGCTGGACAAAAGTCTAAACTGTGAGAGGATAGGCTGGAGAGCAGCCCTGTAGTAAGAGGTTTTGGGGTGCTGGTCAGCAGGAGGCTCAGTATGAGTGGGCAGTGTGCCCTGGCAGCCAGGAGGGCAAAACATGTCCCGAGGTGCATGACCAGCTGGTGAAAGAGGTGATTATCCCGCTATATTCAGCAATGGTTCAGCCTTACATTGAGTGCTGTGTGCAGTTCTGGGCCTCACCATTTAAGAAGGATGTGAAGGTCCTTGAATGCCTCCAGATGAGGGCAACAAAGCTGATGAATGGACTGGAAGCAGTATCCTGTGAGGAGTGGCTGAGGACTTTGGACTTGTCTAGTTTAGAGAGAAGGAGGATGAGGAATGACCTTGCTCTCTACAGCTTCCTGGGGAGGTGGAGAGGGAGGTGCTGAACTCTTCTCCCTGGGATCCAGGGCAGGATGCGTGGGAGTGGTTCACGGCTGCACCTTTAGACTGGACACGAGGAAGCATTTCTTTACAGAGAGGGCGGTCAAACACTGGAACAGGCTTCCAAGAGAGGTCATCGATGCTCCCAAGTCTGTCAGTGTTTAAGAGGCATTTAGACAATGACCTTAATAACATGTTTCAGCTTTTGGTCAGCCCTGAACTGGTCAGGCAGTTGGACTAGATGAGGTGTAGGCCCCTTCCAACTGAAAGTTTTGTGGGGTCGGTCTGTCTGTGTGTGTGTGTGGGTCTGTCTTCTTTCGAATGCTTCTCTAACTGCTCTTCGTTAAGATTTAATTTTGCAGACTTGCATTTTTGAGCTACCCCAAGGCCAGTCACAGCTGTGTCATGGTGGTCATATGAGTGCTAGTGATGTTTATAGTGCCTGCATCTGTCAAAGCTCAGGTTAAAATAGTTATTCAGTTTTTATTGATGCCTGTTTAGGATTGGAGAAGGGAATTTATGGCAAAGACTTAAATAAATAGAAAGGTCCTTTAATTTTAAACAGAGATGGTTCCGAGCAAAACTGCAACAGAAGAGATTTCTAAGAGATTATCAAAGAATCATTCATTTACAACATGCAATTCGAGGCTGGCTAAATCACAGGAATGATGCAGCAGCAAGAATCCAGCGAAATGTACGAAGGTTCCTTGCCTGTAGACGTAGGAGAAGATTTGCAGTTGGAATAATTAAATTTCAGGTAAATACCTCTTGTAAGAAAACTATGATTTTTTTTTTTTTTAAGTTTGTTCTTGTTTTTTCATTTTTCTCTCATGAGTTTTGGGGAGCATCTGTTTGCTTTGAATTGAATTTATCAGTTAAATTGCAGGCAAATCAGCCTCAGTTTAGACATCAAAGCTAAATGCAGAGAGATCATGAAATAATATTAAGGGGATTTATTTGGGAGTGTGTGTGGAGTGTATATGCATGTTTGTTTTGGTCTTTTGTCTTGAAAATCCAGTAATTGGAAGATTAAACACTGAATTACTTAAAAATTATTAACGAGAGTAATTAAATACTTTGTCAGACTTGTGTAAAATTGATTTGGACAGTTAATGGAAGTCTTGTTCTAGTGCCTCTTGTTCACAACTTTTTTTTCTGTTTGTGGAATCTCTTTTCTGTAGGCATTGTGGAGAGGATATTTTTGGAGAAAGAGTAATGACACAGCAAAAATGAAAGCTTTAAGACATAGTTTGGAAAAGGCTAATGAAAAGAGCAGAGAAGAAAACAAACTGTGCAACAGAACTGCAATTGCTATTGAATATCTTCTAAAATACAAACATCTCTCTTATATCCTTGCAGCATTAAAGCATCTTGGTCAGTATTTCATTTTATTGTTTCTGAATTCCAGGATGATAGAAACTGGAATTTTTCAGCTGAGTTCGTAATGATATTTAGGCTTTCTCTTTGACTGTAAATTGGGAATATGTTAGAGTATAATGGTTATGTAGAGAAAGGAAATCCAGTAATTGCTCTAATCTCCTGGTAAGCATCCTAGTAATAACATGCCTTATATAAGCTAATGATATTTTTCTGTCACAGAATGGTTTGGGTTGGAAGGGACCTTAAAGATCACCTAGCTCCAACCCCCTGCCATGGGCAGGGACCCCTTCCACTAGACCAGGTTGCTCAAAGCCTCATCCAGCCTGGCCTTGAAGGCAGCCAGGGATGGGGCAGCCACAGCTTCTCTGGGCAACCTGTCCCAGTGCTTCACCACCCTCTCTGGGAAGAACTTCTTCCTGATATCTAATCTAAATCTCCCCACTTTCAATTTAAACCCGTTACCCCTTGTCCTGTCACTACAGGCCCCTGTAAAAAGTCCCCCCCCAGCTTTCTTGTAGGCCATTTTCAAGTACTGGAAAGCTGCTATAAGTTCTCGCTGGAGCCTTCTCCAGGCTGAACAAGCCCAATTCTCTCAGCCTTTCTTCACAGGAGAGGTGCTCCAGCCCTCTGAGCATCTTCATGGCCTTCTCTGGACTTGCTCCAGCCAGTTGATATCCTTCTTATGTTGAGGGCTCCAGAGCTGGACAAAGTACTCCAGGTGGGGTCTCATGAGAGCAGAGTAGAGGGGGAGAATCCCCTCCCTCGACCTGCTGGCCACACTTCTCCTAATACAACCCAGGATACGGTTGGCTTTCTGGGCTGCCAGCGTACAGTGCTGGATCATGCCCAGCTTTTCATCCACCAGTACCCCCAAGTCCTTCTCCTCTGGGCTGCTCTCTCTCCATTCTCTGCCCAGCCTGTACTTGAGCTTGGGATTGCCCTGACCCATGTACAGGACTTTGCACTTGGCCTTGTTGAACTTCATGGTCCCCCTTCTCCAGCCTCTCCAGGTCCCTCTGGATGGCATCCCTTCCCTCCAGCGTGTTAACTGGAACACACAGCTTGGTGTCATCAGCAAACTTGCTGAGGATGCACTCGATCCCACCATCCATGTTGCTGACAAAGATGTTAAACAGCACTGGTCTCAATACCGATCCCTGAGGAACACCTCTCATGCATCCATCAAATCCATGCTTTTTTCCAGTTTAGTGACAAGGATGTTGTGTGGAATGGTGTGGGACACTTTGCACAAGTCCAGGTAGATGACATTTTTTGCCCTTCCTTTATCCACCAAGGTCATGACCCCATCATAGAAGGCCACCAGATTCATCAGGCACGAACTGGTGCCGAACTTCACCCTTGGTGAAGCCATGTTGGCTGTCACCAGTCACCTCCTTGTTTTCCATGTGCCTTAGCATGGTTTGCAGGAGGATCTGCTCCATGATCTTGTCAGGCGCAGAGGTGAGATTGATTGGCCTGTTGTAGTTCCCCAGATCCTCTTTAAAGATGAGGGTTTTGTTTCCGCTTTTCCAGACAGTGAGAACTTCACCAGACCACCATGACTTCTCAAATATGATGGTTATAGGTTTGGCAGCCTCATTCACTGGTTCTTTCAGGACCCAAGGATGTATTTCATTAGGTCCCATGGACTTGTGCACCTTTGGGTTCCTCAGGTGTTCTTGAACCTGATCCTCTAACCAAGGGCGGCTCTCCATTCTCCCATTTCCTGCTTCTGTCTTTTGGAACTCAAGGTTGTGGCTTGTGCCCTTGTCAGAGAAGACCGAAGCAAAAAGTCACTGTGCACCTCAGCCTTCTCCATATTCTGGGAAACCAGGTCTCCCGTTTCCTTCTGCAGAGAGCCCACATTTTCCCTGATCTTCCTTTTATCCCCTATGAACCTATCGAAACCCTTCTTGTTGCCCTTGATGTCCCTGGCCAGGTTTAATTCTGTCAGGGCTTTAGGTTTCCTAATCTGATCCCTGACTTGACAGACAACCCTCCTGTAATCCTCCCAGGCTCCCTGCCCCTGCTTCCACCCTCTGTAGGCTTCCTTTTTCCACCTCAGTTTGTCCAGGAGCTGCTTGTTCATCCACACAGGCCTCCTGGTGTTTTTACCCAACTTCCTCTTCATTGGGATGCATCGCTCCTGAGCTTGGACAAGATCCTTGAATATTCGCCAGCTTTCTTGGGCCCCTCTTCCCTCCAGGGCCTCATCCCATGGAACTCTTCCAATCCCTGGAGAGGCCAAAGTTTTCCCTCCTGGAGTCCAGAATATGTTCTCTGTGAATTGTCTGCCTAATTTTTCATCTAGAATATTAAAACGATTGATTTAGAAATACTTATTTAAGTCAATAATTGTGGGTTTTACTTCCTTGCACTTCTACTTAAAAATGAGACGAAACTCTTGTTTGCAATTAAATTGCTTAAGCTTCAGTTTTCTTTTTTTTTTTTCCCTTTAATTATAGAGGTGTCTACCAGGCTGTCCCCACTCTGTTGTGAAAATATGGCCCAGAGCAGAGCAATCTTCACTATTTTTGTTCTGATCCGAAGTTGCAACCGGAGCGTTCCATGCATGGATGTGATCAGATACTCGGTTCAGGTTTTACTTAATGTTTCAAAGGTAACTGTAATATTTTCTTTTGCAGGTTCATAAGCTGTAGGCTCCTTTATTGTAGTATTTATTTATCCACAACATTTCTGAATAAATTTGAAACTACAAAAGTAATAGTTTTGATAAAATTCAGAAACTTGTTTTTTTTATAGTGTGTCATTTTGAAACCCATTATCTACTTCTGTAGTAATTTTTTAATTTTCCTTCTGGCAAAAGAAAACTTTTTCATGGGCTTAAAGTAATAATTTTAATTTTAATTGAGTATATTGCAAGGTATGCCCAGTATTGCATTAAACAGTGTAGAAATGCAATACCGTAGTAGTTAGGGTAAGCTATGAAGTTTTTTGTTTTTTTTTTTAAAGGTAGATATTAGTATGTTCCAGAAGACAGGATGCATTTCCAAATTTGTGTCATAGAATAGGCTATATTTACACTTTTTGATTTCTTACAGGACTGATTATTTTCATAAATGATTAAAGCTGCTTCAGTACCCTAGTAGCACTATAGTTAGTCACTATGGATTGATTATTCTAGAGTTTTTTCACTTTGAAATATGGAATAGTTGCTAAACATAGTTTTGATCCTATATCCACCCTACAGGCATTTTACATTCAATTTTTTAAATTTTTATTTCAGGAAAAAAGATCACATTTAGGCCAAACTTATTTTAAAAATAATTCAAACTTATTCAATTTATTCTTCTATTTTAAACTTAAGGTCAGATTCTACAGGTTTCTAAACAAGGGGGGAAGCACAAAGCATAGCTTTTTGTAACCTGTTATGATGTTGTAACATACAGGTGTGATTTTTTTTTTATTGCTTGGATGCCAGATCAGCATCTAGGTCAGAATATGGATTTTGCTTTTTCCTCTAACCTGAAAGATATTTTAAAGATTTCTCTGTCTAACCTCTCTTGTCTCTTCTTGTATAACAGTATGAAAGAACTACTCAAGCAGTTTATGAAGTAGAAAATTCTATACATACATTACTAGACCTACTGCAGATGTACAGAGGGAAAGCTGGGGACAAAATTTCAGAGAAAGGAGGAAGCATTTTCACAAAGACTTGTTGTTTGTTGGCCATCCTTTCAAAGGACTCAAAAAGAGCTTTGGTAAGCTTTATGTTGATATACTCTATTGGAACAGACATAGCCTGTTTCTGAAGGGAATTGCCTTTGTTCATACCTATTGCTAGAATCCCCAGTAAGGTTACTGGGGAAGTCTGGGTTCTATGCTTTACATTCCCTAGCTGTTTATCCATCAGATGTAAGTACTTAAGTTATCCACTCAACTCTGCCCATTGGTCTTTCGTTGCTATGGCAATGGGTGCAAACACTTATTTGTTTCTGTGTACCAATCATTGAAGGCATATGTCAATGCCAATGTGAAAATCGGTTTTAATGAGGAATTAGTAAAATCTGACTTGCAAGAGCTTGAATTTTTGGAGATCTCAAGTTGCACACCAGTTAATTATGTAGAAAGCACTAGACCACTGACTGGTAGGTGCACTGGCTTTAAAGTGGTTTCACTGTACTTGTCTGTAGAAGTTCAGCTTAAATTATAAACATTCAGTTTTCTTTGAATAAAAACAGATTTCTTGGTTTGTTAAGTTGCTTTTGAGCTTGTAGCATTAACTGTGCACTGCTTTCACCTTTTCTCAGGAAATTCGAAGCATGCCGAGAGCTGTTACTTGCATCCAAAGCCTGTATAAACTTACAGCTCATAAACACAAAATGGATGCAGAGAGAACACTTGTGAAGCAGAAAACAAGCACGTTCTTAAGTGGAACTTCCTTTGTTCCAGTAACTCCTGTAAGAATAAAAACAGTTTCAAGGTAAGAGCTGAAAAATTCGTCTGCTGTGTTTACTGTGGCACTACGATATTTTAATAACGAGCCACTAATATTTTCACAGAATTAAACCAGACTGGGTTTTGAGGAAAGATAACATGCAAGAAGTTGTAGATCCTCTGCAAGCAATTCTGATGGTGATGGATACACTTGGTATTGCCTGCTACTGAAATGTAAATGGTGTATATATTTTAATGTATTTGTACAGCGTGTATGTAATGGACAGTTAAATGATTTTGAAAGAAAGCAAGGAAGTGTAAAGCTAACCTTGGAAATATTGTGGCTTGCTTTGTTTGTTCGTTCGTTTTCAAATGGAAATGAAGATTTCTGTAACAGTTTTTGTATTGTATACAGCTTTTGAAATCCTACTTTGTACTTCTACAAAAGCAATCGTACAATAAAATCGTAAGCCTGGAAATTTCAGTAGTGTCATAATGTATTGTTATTACACAACTGTGAATCTCACAAACAGCATGATACGCCGCACTGATTAAATATTGTAGAATGCTATTAAAGCCAGTTGTTTTTGTGGGGCAGTTATGTTGGCTTGTCTGACCTGGGGAGGGAGAGGTAAGAAAGGAAGCACAGTCTGTGGGTTTCAGAACTGGCTACTGGTTTTGGGGAGCTTGAGTTTACTTTCTGTTAAGGTTTTGAGAGATCATGCATGACTGTAGGAAAAGAAAATATTGTAATTACTATTTTTTAAGTACTACAAGATTATGATGGAGCAATGTAAGGGTGAATTTAGAAATTCTGACCTGACATTTTAATACAGATGGTTTGTGAGCACTTTCTTGCTATCAAGTGAGCAGTACATACAACCATGCATCTCATCTGACTGAATAGATGGTGTTTATCACAGCATCTCTCTTAAATTCTGTTCTCTTGTGCCTCGGAGTTGCCTTTTCTTAGAGCAAGGCCAAGAAAATGAAAACTGTAAAATGATACCCTCACCCCCTGATTTAAAGATTATGCCTCCCAGGGGTGCAACGTGATGCTAACTCAACTGGTAGCCATTAGCCAGGTGATAATGCATTGTAAATAAGGTTCTGGGTTTTTTGTTGGGTTTTTTTTGTTTAAAATAAACAAACCAAAAACCAACAACAACTCAAAAAGAGACATAGCTGTACCCAACAAAATCCGACAGGTAATAGTATTGGCTATGTTCCTAATGTAAGAGCTTCCAGAATGAATAATATATAGAGCGCAACTAACTGGTTGTATGGGGTTAGGCTGGAGGAAATGACTTTCCTCTTATTTCAGCCAAGGTAAATAATCTGATTGAACAAACCAAAAACCAACAACAACTCAAAAAGAGGCATAGCTGTACCCAACAAAATCCGACAGGTAATAGTATTGGCTATGTTCCTAATGTAAGAGCTTCCAGAATGAATAATATATAGAGTGCAACTAACTGGTTGTATGGGGTTAGGCTGGAGGAAATGACTTTCCTCTTATTTCAGCCAAGGTAAATAATCTGATAACAGAATGCCCTTTAAACTTGGAAATCAGGAGGTTCTGAGAGGAATGGTGTTCAATTAGTTTAAATTGTTCCATAATTCGTTGACTGGTTTCTCTGCAGAATGATCAATTCTGTCCTCTTTACTGATGTAAAGTATGCCAAATGGAAGGAGAAATCTGCAAATCTAGTGTTAGGGTATTTGGAAAACTGAAACAAAGTAAACCAGTGTTTTCAGTGGCATAGCTTGTTACAAAATAACATGGACACTGAGGCATTTGTGAATACTTTTGAAATCCAGTTAATTATTTACAAAAGTAATAGTTAGGAAGTTTTCACAGGTCCTGGAAACTGTAGATGGTGACAGTAATGAAGATGAGATTTAAAAGCTGTTTTATCTTCCTAGTTACGATGTATTCAGGCAAAGTCTTTGCAGAAGGTAAATACAATGCGTTCTATTGTTGATAAATGTACATTGAATCTAGAACATGAAGTCTGGGTAACAAGTGCAATGTCTTTCATATTTTTAGCAAGAGTAAGCACTGCTTTTAAAATCCACTTTTTTTGAGATGGCTGATGATCAGAATTCAGCTGTCACCGTAGCCCTGAGCTACAGATTCATTTCTAAGCTGCAATATTAAAAGGTTCAAGTTTCTATTCAGAAAGAGTTTATTTTGAAATGTATGTGAATTGTTTTGAGGCACTTACACAAATTTAATTTTTTTACTATTAAAACATTTTATATGTTGAAGTGCCTTGTGGATTGAAGTGTTCTGGTTTTACCACAAAGCAAAAGAGTGGAAATTAAATGGAACCTGCAGAAGGTAGTCTGGGGTGGTTCTGCATTTCCTACCCCAACTTTACGTACCACTTGAACTGCAAGTTCACAAAGCTGTGAACTGCGTATGAGAGTCTCCATTAACTGAAAAGTTCTCTTTTCCCTTTTTGAATTTCATTTTGTGTCTGCTAATGGATATTTAACTCCAGCATATTTTTTGCAACTAACTTTCCTCACTAGAGTTTTGTCCTTATACGAAGCAGTGAAATTACATTGATACCATTTGGAAAGTTAGACTAAAGGTATGTAGGTAGCAACCATTTCTGTCTTTTAATTAATCTTAATTGCACTCAGGTTTGTGGTTGGTTTTATTTTTTAATTTACATGTGATGCAGTGACTGTGTGAGGAAGAGAATTATTTTAAAATGTTATCTTGGCACTTTCTATTTAGTAGAAATACTAAATTTGCAGAAAATTCTAGTAAACGTGGTAAATCCTACTGACATTATTGAGTGAAAGGAGGAACTGTTTATTTGGTTCTAATATGTGTAGGGTGAATGCAGCAGTGCCAACCTGTGGGAAAATTCTGCCCTGTTATAATGAGATTCATAGGTGGTGATTCAGTTTTTAAAACTTGAGTCTTCATGTTAAATTTATTCTCTCCACGACATTACAAGGTAATTTTTGAGACCCACAGGCTAATTCCATAGAAATCCAAACATAAATCTTACCTTTTTTTTTTTAAATAATAATATAGTGTCATATTAAGCACAACCCCTTTTAAAGGTTTTGCTCCTATTATGAATTTGTATTTCTGGGGGGAGGGGGGTGTAGTGTGTATATTTTAATTCCAGTTCTGCTTGTTCTTTCCTGAACCTCCATTTCTTCTTTCTTTTTTTGTTGACTGTGTTCTTAAATTCCCTTTCTTCAACAAGTTTAATTTTTTGATTGCCTCCTGGCAGTTCATTGCCCTATTCTGGTAACATTTGCTGCATTGAGGAGCTACGGCATAGCTAATGTTGACAACATTGCCACTATTGCCACTGGATTTTAGAGCAGGCATCAGTATGTTTATGTAGCACAGCCTGTCCATACTTACATCTTCTGGGCTAAAGAATCAAATAACTGTCATGCATCGGTTTTGCCCAGTTCACATTAGGAAGTTTCATTCTACAGCTGGTACTCCTGTGAATCTAAAGAACAAAAGCCAATATAATTGCAATGTATCTTAATTTTAATGAGCCTTACAAGACCCTTCATGATTCTAAGCATTCAGAATTTCATTCACCTTGTTTGAAAACCTGAATCCATCCAACTGATATGAAATAAATTAATGCAAAACAGTTCATATTTGATGAGAATTTTTTTTTTTTATTGCAGATAAACCTTGTGATTTGCCACATATAGAAAATGGGAAGATTGCTCAATACTATTATAATTTCAAAAGTTACTATTTCCCTATGCGTAAAGAAAAAAAACTTTCCTATTCTTGTATGGTTGGTTATACAACTGAAACTGGGACTCAGGATGGAAGAATAACTTGTACAGCAAAAGGGTGGTCTCCAGTGCCCCAGTGCTACAGTGAGTTAGCTTTATTAACCTCACCATTGCTTCTAGTAGGGAACTTGTCTAGCTGGATTTCCTGAACATACAGGAACAGAAGCTGCATAACTGGAGGGATAAAATGTCTTAAGTTAGGACAACAAGGTGATATTAATCCCTTATATATACAAACTCCATACGTTTATATATATGGAATATTTTTGCAATAATACATGTTTTAAGGGCTTTTATCATATATGTTTTCATAAGAATACCAAGTTGCCCTGTTTCTTACATTGGGAAAACCAATAGATAGTTTCTTCTGAGATGTATATCCTCTACAGCCTCCCTAGCTTTAGATTCCTTGTTTGCCATGTTCCATGCTATTACCACCAGTTTGATGATGGTGGTAGAGTTTGTTCAGTAGTTCAGGAAAACAAGGTTAGACCAGAATAGCTAAAACCTCCATTCTTTCATTTATCAGAGAACAAAAATATTCCATTAATTCTTTCTTTCTAACCAAGCTGTCTCCTTTCATTTAGAAAAATGTAACAAGCCTCTTTTGGAAAATGGCTTTTTTTACGGTACAGAAATGTACTTCAGAATACATGAGAAACTGCGATACAAATGTAATCCAGGCTACCACACTGCAAGCGGTGGTACTGAAGGTACAGTGCAATGTCGGCCAGAGGGATGGTCCTCCCAGCCAAGTTGTATTAAAAAATTAGGTAGGATTCTGCATTTTTCTCCTCTGTAATCTGCCATATGTCTATATAATTCTTCTGTCTTTGCTGTACTTGTAGGGCCAACCTGCTTATGTCTGGTTATCATCTGAGGGCTCCTAAAGTAGGTTCTCAGCTGTACCTTATGGGAAGAAGTTGTCAGATTTCATACGCTGCTAGTTTTGTGAATTTGTAGAGATAAAATTATATGTAGATGGAATCAGTATAGATTAAATTGCATTGTTTCAAATCATTTGCTATCCAAAATTTCTTGCCAAATGAAGACTGGTAAACTTGTGTAAACTATTGCATTTTTAATTATTCATTCTTTGTAAAGATTTTGCCTTGGATGTGACAACTTTTAAGATGTGTCTAAAGAAAATTTCAGATTAATAACTTGAAATGAAAAGAGCAATTAATACTATGCATATGCTTTATTTATTCAAGAGTCGTGTCAAGTACCTGATTTACATCACGGCAGCTACTTCACAGCCCAACAAGAGCTTCGACCGAACGAAGCGCTGCTATACAAATGTGATGAGGGGTACCATACTGCAGGAGGAAACACCACAGAAAAGGCAGTGTGTCTCACATATGGCTGGTCCCTTACTCCAAACTGCACTAGTATGTAATGGGCTGGAAAGTAAATCTGTTTGAAGTGTGATTTATTCTACAAATGAAAAAAATATATGCAAAAACTCTTGTTTTATAAGCTGTTGTTTGGGGCAGGAGGGAACCTTCATCAACTGTTTTTCACTGCTGTGTGTTTTCTTCCTAGAAATAACTTGCTCCTCTTTGGGTGCAATAGAACATGGAGGTTTCTATCCTGCAAAGAAATTCTATGAAGAGGGAGATGTAGTTCACTTTTTCTGTGAGGAAAATTATTCTGTCAGTGAATTTGACCTAATTCAATGTTATTATTTTGGATGGTATCCAGACCCTCCAGTGTGTGAAGGTACTTTTATTTTTATAGTTTTACAATGTCAAATTCTTACTGAAAGACTGGCACCTTCTTTCATGAAATTCTTTATGAATACAAAATAAAAATATGCTATTTGCACCAGTTCACAGTCTAAATAGAAATCGGGTGTCGGGTGAATGAAGTGCATGGAGATGAAATAGCAGGGAGGACAGAGGCAATGGTAATTGGAATTAGTTTTCAGTGGACTCTAACAATAGAGGAGATACTGTCTCTTCCTGTTTTTTCTCTGCATGTTGTATCCTGGAGGAGCAGAAATCAACAATTACAGGGAAGTTGTTCAGCCCCTGAAGCTCAACTTAAACCGTGGGCTGGTTACATGAAGTTTTAATCAAGCATGTTTAATCCTGCCTTGTGATGTGGGAACATGCCTCTGGAGAGGCATTAAAAATAAAATTAGTAAGAAGTTCCTCCTGAGCTTGGGGATTGTGGCACTTTTCAGAGTTTTACAGCCCCACCAAACTGCCTGTTTTAACAGAACTAACTAAAAAGGTCATCCTGAGGACAGGAACAAATATTTTGCAATTACTGTCACTTCCCCAATCACTAGGGGATCATGGAGATTCTCAGAAGAGAGATTTTCAAAAGAATGAAAGGTGTAGTGAACCAGATGAGGCACAGCATATAGCAGAAAACTTCAAACCAATATTTAGGTGCGCTGAGAATTTATGATGTTTTAAATAACTTGGTCATTGTCTTATCTGCATATTGTCTTCTGAATGAGGAATGTTTTTGAGACTTGGGAGGTCTCACTGCCTCGTTACAAATTCTCTGCTTTACATATAAGGGATGCCAGGTGTTTATGACAGAGGATGAAAAATCCATCTTTTTTATTGATTTAAGGTAAATATGTGGTATTCATTTGCAATATAATTTACAGAAAAATTTCCCTGTGAAGTATGTTCTCTAAAGCAAATTTAATAATTGTTGGGTGTAGGGTGCTGGAGAGTGAAAAAAAAAATAGATTTAGCCTTTAAAAAATACAGATGTGTTAAGCATAGTTTTTAGTAAAATTAGTGTTTTGCAATTACTTTATAGCTAATCTTGTAGAAGACCATGTAATTGAGTACAAAGATGAAATTCACCTTCCTTTTCTAGAAGATACAGCAGTGTTTAATATGCTCTAGAATCTCTCAAATAAATGGCATGTATTAGGACCCCAGCACTGTGTTTATTCTAATGACAAAGATGGAATTTTTCTTGAGGGCGCACAGAGAAGGTGGGGTGATCAGGAGAATGAAAACAAGTCCTAAATTTAGTTTTAAGAATACAGTAATCACTTCATTTGTGGGTAGGAGATGGGCTATGATTACAGCTGCTTCTGTAGCTTTAGAATTAATACATAAGCTGCTTTAAATATTGTGTCAATGGAGGGTATGGGAAATCTCTCTTTCCTGAAGTCCTTTGACAAATATTTTGTTAAGTCTATGTGGAGAAATTTACAAATTTGTTTATAGCAGTGCAATAGCATAATACCTCTATTTCATATTTGTTGAATGTAAAATTGCTTTTTTGTTCTAGTCTCCCATTATGTTAGGAAAATGGGAGTAAGCAATTACTCTGGATCAACCAAAAATGTCCTTTGAGTGATAGGCTCGCATGCTGCATAGTAAAATTAATTGTGTACCTGGTTTTGATTAGTGAGAAAACAATATGCATTTTTTAAATTTTCAGATGTAAAAAATAAATGTCCTCCACCACCACTCCCTCCTCATGCCCATATCCTCACAGTTAGAAGAACATATCATAATGGAGACAAAGTTCGTATACAGTGTCAAAGTACCTTTGAAATAAGAGGATCTGAGGAAATCCAGTGTGAAAAGGGAAAATGGACATCACCCCCTATTTGTATCAGTGAGTACTTTTGTGAAGACTGACGACTGAATAGAAACAATTCTTAAAATAATGCCTTAATTTTCTGGGGACCCTCCGTGTCCGTGTAGAATCACAGAATGGTTTGGGTTGGAAGGGACCTTAAAGATCACCTAGTTCCAACCCCCCTGCCATGGGCAGGGACACCTTCCACTAGACCAGGTTGCTCCAAGCCTCATCCAGCCTGGCCTTGAACACTTCCAGGGATGGGGCATCCACAGCTGCCCCAGAAGCATCCGTTCTTCTTTTTCCATATCTGCAAAACTGTTTATGTCCTCCTCTGTTAAAATGCTTGAGAGGTGAAGTGCTGCATAATTTGCAGGTGATTCGTTGTTCACAGGTTAAAGAGAAAGGATGAGCTTTGAGAATTCAGCTGACAATCGTGTTGCGTAGTTCTCCTCTGGAATATTGATATTTATTACATTTTATAACACAGCAGTGTCTGTCTGTTTTGGTATTTGAAAGAGTTATCTCTGAGAAAACTGGTTCTAAGTTTCTGCTGTGGTTATAGGAACTATGGATGAAGAGGAATCTGAGGTACCACCATCACTCGATGCAGATGCAGCAATAAGGGCAAGCAAAACATATCGCAATGAAGATACAAGTAGGTGAACATTGCTTTTCTATGTAAAAGGGACTCAAATTCTCTCCAATTCTATTATAGGCATTTTATGACTACTCTTACTATTCTTTTACTATAGTGCAGTTCCTCAGTCTTGAAACTGTTTGCATGTGTTACAGATACCAGTGTAGCAGTCTGAATAAATGCCCATTGTTGCTTGTTTCTATGATTATAAACTAAGCCTAAAAGCCTGTTCTGTATTTGTAACTTGATTTCATACATTGACACTTACCTTCACTCATTTGTTAATGTTGTCTGAACATGAAAATTCAGGAGTATTTTGCTATTAATCCTTTGATTACTAGTTCAGCGAGGTTTCTTTTTGTTTATTTTGAACTGCACATGGGCTAAATGTTTCAAGCAACAAATGAAGACCGTCTCCTTACAGAAAAAGAACTAATCTATATTGCGTGTAAACCAGCAAGAGTCAAGAGTGGACACAGATGAGGAGTGTAGAGGGAAATACATTATTGCAGACAGGCATTGTGAGGCAAGTTTCTGAAAACGTAGTTTGAAAAAGAAATTATACTGGTTTACATTTTATTTTGTATGTAAATTTTTTGCTCAGTCTATTGTTAGTCTAATACTTTCACCAGTGTTCATATTGTTTTAGAAATCTAATCACCTTTCTCCCTACCTTGTATTAGAAATGCAGCAAAACTGCGCCTCTCCACCTATGATTAAAAATGGTGGTGTTCTTGGTCCATTATTGACAACTTACAAAAATGGTTCCTCAGTAGAATATGCTTGTCAGCATTACCATGTTTTGGATGGACCTAGTACTGCTTACTGCGAACAAGGAAACTGGACAGAACAACCAACTTGCTTTGGTAAGTCTTGTTTGAAAACAAAAAAAAGGAAAGTGTTGTCATGTGTAATATAGAAAGGTAAAATTGGAAGGAACCTCTAGACAACACTTTCATGACCTGCTTTTCTCTTTCATTTGATTTAATTTGATTTAACAAAGATTCCAGAAACATGGGGATAAACCAAAATAAATATACCTAGGCCAGTCCTGCTAAGTGTCTTCTAGCCTTTTCTTACAAACACCCAATTAGATTCCTCTCTTTTCCTGAGTGAGCTGTTTTAGAACATAGCTAGCCCTGTATCTATTTTTTTCTCTGTTCAGTAAACTTTTTCCTATCCTTCAATAGATGTTTAGAAGGAATTACTGTAGACATTGCCAGAATAGTTTTGGATATGATTAACAAGGAATACAATGACTTCTTGGACTTTAACTTTTAAATCTTCAGCCTTTGTTTTTATTATGTGTCTTTATAATTTCACTTTGGATTTTCTAATTTTTCTGTTATTCTTATGTATGCTGTTCAAAACGATGTATAGAACTCTCAATAGGAATTGACAAATACTTGCAGGAATACTACTTCTGATGATTTACAGGAGTTGTTTATCTTTCCTTCCTTCCCTTAATGAAATAATTCTATTTTACTAGCATCCTTTGTTAGATTGACTCACTTTGTTTGTAAGCTACTATGAAGTTGCAAATAAATAATCAGCTCAGTTTTAATTACTTATTTCTAAATGAAAAAAATATATGTCGCCTGGACTGAAACATCCAGATCAGCATTCTTGGATCTGAATACTCAAATTTAATGAATATTGTGAAATAATGAAAACTGATTTCCTGTGAGTGTTATTTGTCTCCTGAGCATCCAAATAACCACATCATCCTTCCCGTGTTTTCTGTGGCTTCTTTTTAACCCTCATCTAACCAGACCAGAAACAGCACATACTGTAGTTAGTTTCAGGAAAACATCCATACCAAGCTGTTGTTATGGTGCTGTCATCAAAATCCATAATAAATGATTTCTTTTAGAAACATAGAATGGTTTGGGTTGGAAGGGACCTTAAAGATCATCTAGTTCCAACCCCCCTGACACGGTCAGGGGGGATTCTCCTTGCCTTTCCCTCAGCAGGTCATTAATAAGAGCTCCTATCAGGTAATGATTCTCGTGGAACTTCCAGAAATTTAACTGTCCCCCTTTCAGGCTTTATGGAAGTTGGATTCAAAAGCTAATGGTGCTAACTGTCCAGTGGAGAGTACTGAAGTATGCTTTTGTTTCCTAGAGCCGTGCATTCTTGATGTAATTGATATGAACGGCAGCAACATAGAGCTGAAATGGAGCCAGGAAGAATTAATTTTCCTACATGGTGATCTCATAGAGTTTGAATGTAAACAGGGATACAGTTTTGTCGAGACTACCTCTCCTGGAAGCACACTGTGTAACAACGGCAGACTGAAGTATCCAAAATGCATTCTGCAAGGTAAAAGAATTTTTTTTTTTTATGGCCTTTTTAATTAATCAATTAGGGACTTATTTAGAAACAATTCTGTTTGGCAGTGCAGGACTAGAATCTGTTGTAAGTAGTAGATGTTTAGGATTCAACAATACAGATAGACACAGATACCCCTGCACAGGACAGCTATATTGTTAAATGTATACAAACGTGGAAAAAGAATACGCCTTCCCTTGATGTGGAAGGCTGTAGAAAGGAGGGATGAGCTCCTCTCCAAGCTGAGGGAAGTCTGTAGAAGCAGCTCTGTAGAAAGACAGCTGTAAACAACTAAATGTACACAAGGGATTTCTTATAGTTAGAATTAAGCAGGAGATTGCATTCAGACCTGGAACACAGTAAAATACTGAGAGTTGATAGATATCTAGTGTTGACAGGCATGTAAAGCTGCTAAGTTATTAGTTCCTTAAGCTGAATGTTTCTCAAATGCTTTTTTAACATTATTCCAGCTCCTACAAAAAAATGTGACTCTCCACCTTCTATTGCAAATGGAGCTCTTACTGTCCCGCCACTGACTCAGTATGACAGTGGTTCTTCAGTTCAGTATATTTGCTCTGACTACCATTTTTTACAAGGATCTGAGAGAATCTATTGTTCTGAAGGACAGTGGACTTCACCACCAGTTTGTATAGGTAGGTGTATAAGGTAAACAAGCACTTATTTCTCTCTATAATTCAGATACATAGAATTTATAAATTGAATATTGATAATTAAAAATTTAAGATCTCAAGTTTTTTCAGTTAGAGATGGAAGTTTTAACCGAAGCAAGTGTAAGCTTGTCTGGCTTTTTTTTTTCCTTAAATATGACATGTAAGTACTATCCAAAAATAGAGTGATTTCACATATAATGTATTATGAGAACGGGAAATAATCTACAGTTTTGGTGTCGAATAGTCAAAATTATGTGATTTCAAAAATAATTGCTTTAGTAACACTGATTATGTGTCTCTTCTTTAGAGCCGTGCACTTTGTCAGAAAATGAAATGGAAAAGAATAATGTGTTGCTGCAAGGATTCTATAAGAATCAAGTTTACTTCTACCATGGGGATTATGTTGGATTTTACTGTAAAGAAAATCATTTTGGAGCAGAATCTGGTACAACTTTATTTCAAGTACAGTGTAGGAGAGGAGAGCTGGTGTATCCAAGGTGTGTTGAACGAGGAAAATGAGTATGGACTTCAGGAAAGCCTCTGTGAAAGGTATGTACATGTTCTTTCTCTAGTTTTAACAGCTGAATTAAGATGGATTTTCAAGATCACTACAGGCAGCTTTGAGAAATGAGTGCTCATGGCATTGTTGGGTCTGAGCTGACGGGAAGAAGCTAAAAGTGCTTTGTGTTATGAGGGAATGCAGCAGAAGAATGCAGTATTGGTCTATGCATGGAAAATTTAGGATGAGGGAGTTCTGTAAGGCTTAGAGTGATGAACTTGAGGATGTGTCACAATCTGGAGGACTTAAGCAAAGCAGCACAACAAGATGATGATGAACAAATGGTGCCCTTCGTGAGGATATTGATGGTTTTGATAGGATGAGTGCTATACCTGATCACAGATCATAGCTAAATTGAGATTTAATTTCATGCCCTTCAAAATAGATGTTTTTTTACAGAGAGAGAGGAGAGACCAATTTTTTTTTATACATCTTAACAGTACTCATGTCTCCTTTCACAGGTGAGAAGCCTCTAAAGGACAAGGCTTGATGGACAAGAAAAAAAATCAAGTATTCTAAAAAAAAATTCTATTTAATGGATCCATGAAACCTAAAAATACGCAAATTCTACTTAGTAGTTCATTATTGTTCTTAAAGAAAAAGTCAAGCAGGCATCTTTGTTTTCATAACTGAGATAATTGAACTATTAAGCATCTAGTCCAACTACTTTGTGTGATTTACTGTGACACTTAAACGTTGGTACTCGTGGGGCTCTGCCTTTGAACATGCTGTGTGTCTGAAGGTACGAAGGAAATTCAGAAATACAGACACTGTTTGCCTCATATCCATTTTAATACGTTTTAATAAAAAAAGTCACTGTAAGGGTCTCTTCTGTATTTTTCTCTCTAAACTCCATCTTTCTATGATATTGCATGTGTGCTGTCCTGTGTGGTTTTGCAAGTTTTTTGTGAGTGCTACATGAATAAACAAGAAAGAAATTAAAACATTCAAAATAGAAAAATTCTGCTTATTTTATCAAAACCCATTCAGCCATTTGGTGGGAAAAAAAGGTTGATAAATATAGTATTTGCATGCCACTTACAGTAGTGTTACAAAATATATTCAAAAGATTTAAAACTCACTGCTTTGTAAAGTGGTATTTAAAATGAGGACAAATAATAATGAGATTTAGCAATTTAATATAATGAACTCTCGATGCATGACACGCACATGGGAACTAGGTGTTCCCTATAGCTTTTATTTGTAGGTCATGTTATGAACAATGACTGTAATGGGAATTGGTGAGTCTTTCTCAATTAAGAAATAATATAAGAACTTGGTTAAATAAAATAATTGGTGTACAGTTCTTCACTCAATACACCAAAACTCACTGGTTTTGTTACCTTAATAGCTGTCAGGTAGGCTTGCTATGCATCAAGAAACTATTTGTGCTGAGGCCAAAATACACAGAAATTCATCTCGGTCTCTGAGTGCTTGTCCTAATCGTTCCCGTGTCGAGGAGAGCTAGAAGAAAAACTGTTTCCCTTCAGTGGGAAAGGTGTTTGCGTGACGGACTAGATCTGTGAGAAAATCTTTCACGGCAACCAGTACAACTGTGACCAAATCAGTAACACCACACAAGGTCAACATGACCTTGGTGTCAGTATCAGAAAAACCCAATTTGAATACAGATGTAGCCAAACTGGGGCAAATAGGGAAAAGTAATTTGGACAGGTTTTTTTTGTTTGGAAGGAGAACGGGGTGAAGAAAGGGAAATACAGACATGGTGAAAAGAGAATCAATAAACAAGAAAAAAGGTCATAAGGTCTGCACATGGTGTAATTGAGACTCTCCAGGGATAGCAGTCAAGCAGGTCTGCGCTTGATCACCTCAGCTTAATTTGGGCCAAAACGCCAAATCCGTAGCCTTGACCATACTGCAGAGATCAAACCTGTCTGCATGGTCTGGAAGACCCAGTCAGGGCAGGCAGGAGTGCACATTCTCTGGCTAGCAGGGAGAAACACCGGAGAAAAACAGATGGAGCATCCACATGTCACTGTGCTTGGTGCCTGTTCCAGGTTTGATGGCACCAGCATCTTCCCAGTTGCTTCCTAACGCCAGCCTGTACCAGTGTATTTAATTCTCTTGTTCTGGATTATTTATTTATTTTTCAGCATGTTCAGGACAGCATCCAGGTATTTTCTCATTTCTTTCATTTTCTCATTTTCAATTTGTTTGCATGAATTGTTTGAAAAGGAACTTGTTGCTTGCAATTTGAAATCTGGGGCTATAATATTTCTGTTAATTAGCACGGCAGGAGTAAGTGAAAGAAAATGAGAGCTACCGTTTGGGTTTCAAAATCTGGAATAGCTCAGAAATATGTGCATGCAATCTTGAAAAAGATTTACAACATGAACAGTACAAAACTGACTGGACACAGAATTCTTACAGAATTACACAGGAGGCGATCAAGTTGCTTTTTGGACGGTAAGGAAACTTTGCTAATGATTCCTTTTCACTAGCTTAATTTTCCCAGAATATTTTCATGCAAATATGGCTATGCAGTGGGAGAGGACACAGAGCAGCTCCCTGCACTGCTCTGGTAGCAGAGGAGGTGCTCAGACATACTGTCGTCCTCGTGCAGGTCAGATGCTGAAAGCCCACCTGTCAAAATGCTGTGCTTAGGGTATGTGGAGTATATCGTGCAAATGAGGCTCGGTGATGTGCAAGTCCATGTGTTTCTGATCTCCTAAGTGTATTTGGAAGCAGAGAAAGACTTAAGTTGTGGGGCTAGAAAAACTTTTAAAGTAAGCATAAACATACCAAAGAGCTCAATTTAACCCTTTAACAATCCTAACTCTGCAGAAAGCTAGCAAGGCATAGAATTGCAGAATAAGAATCAGGTTGCTCATGACCCTGTCTGGCAGAGATTTTTAGTATCTTCAAGAATATTTTCTAAGTTCTCTGGGCAACCTGTACCAATGTCTGTCTGCACTCATGCTGAATCTTTTTTTCTAATACCTCATTGGAAATTCTTTTCCTGCAGATTTGTGTCTGTTGTCTTTCATCATATCATGTGCATCTCTGAGAAGAGTAGGACTCCATTTTCTCTGTGCTCTTCCATTAGAAAGCCAAAACCAGAAATAAGCCTTCTCACAGCCTTCTCAAGAAACGTTCAGAAAAGAATGTGTTATTTCTTCTTGTATGAGGCATGATAAAAATAACTGTTTCTGTTGGTGTTTTTCTTGTGTAGAAGGGCTTTCTAATAGCATCTGAATGGCAGTATATCTCAGTTCTGTCATTTCACAGTGTGAGTGCTGACTTGGGAGTGTGTAGATCATACGATAACACTTTCTGCACCAAGTTTGTCTTGAGCAAATTTTTTCAAGATCAGCCTTTTATTTGTTATAGAATGGTTTGAGTTGGAAGGGACCTTTAAAGATCATGTAGTGCCAACCCCCCTGCCATGAACCAGAACACCTTCAACTAAGGTTGCTCAAAACCCCTTCCAACCTGGCCTTGAAAACTTCCAGAGATGGGGTGTCCACAGTTTTCTGGGCAGCCTGTTTGTCATGGTTTAATCCCAGCCAGCAACTAAGTACCACAGAGCTGCTTGCTCACCTGCCCCCTCCTCCCTCCCTCCTCCACCCTCCAGTGGAGGAGGAGGAGAATTGGAGGAAAATACAAGTAAACTTGTGGATTAAGATAAGAACAATTTAATAATTGAATATAAATTAATAAAATAGTGATACTAATAATACTAGCAATACTAATATTACTACTAATAATATGTAGTGAAAATAATACTACCACTATTTCTAGTCTGTTGCAATTAAAATAATGGAAAATAAAACAAAATATACAATTGCTCACCACCTGCCGAGCAATGCCCAGCCAGGTCCTGAGTAGTGAGAGACAGAGCCTGAGAGAGCACGCACCAGAGTCAGAGCAAGCCCCAGGAGTGAGAGAGCAACTGAGAAAACTAACCAGCCAACCAATATGGCTTCCAGCCCACCCCCAACTTTAATACTGAGCATGACATTTTGTGGAATGAAATACCCCTTTGGTCAGTTTGGTCAGCTGTCCAGACTGTGTCCCCTCTCCGCTGCTTGTGACGAAGAAGTTGGGAGCACAGGTGCATTGTCAGCAGCTGGAAATAGTCCTTGACTTGGTACAAACACTCCTTTCAACAACTAAAACCACCAGTGTTACCAGTGCTCTTCTCAGCACAATTCCAAAACGTGGCCTCATACTAGCTACTGAGAAGAAAATAGCTCTGTCCCGACTATAAACCAACACAGGCCACCAGTGTCTGTCCACCATCATTGTAAAAAAAGTCTTTCATCCAATCAAATCAATTTCTTTTTCAGTTTAAAACCGTCGCTCTGTCACGACAGAGGAGCCTTTCCTCTTGACTAACAACCTTGCGTTTACACGTTTTTTGCCAACATCAGATTTATTTATATATTGCGATTTCTGTTTTCCATTTAAGCTCTCACCTCCATGGTACATAATTGAGGGAACGAACTTTTGTATGGATATAAACTCACAGATCAGGGCAATTCCTGTAACAATCAAAGTTTTGGGTACTTTGTGTGCTGATTCAGACTGGCACTGGTGCAGAAAGCTGGTCTTGCTGAGCGTAGTCCTACCTTGGTGTGGAGATCAGATCTTTTAAACGCTGTCTGTATTTTCTCAGGCGAATATAAGGAAGAACAATTTCTGTTGTCTATTTTTTTAATAAAAAGAAAGAAATCTGCATGTTATGCAATAAAAATTATGCAACTGTTTTGGAGCTGAATTACTGGAAATGACTGTCTGACCAACAATTGGTATTTAGAAAAGGTTAAGTTTGTGTTTCCGAGTAACTGAGTTACAAATATAGCCAAAAGTTAATGACTTATGCAGGTCTATAAAAGTTAATGACATAAAGGGGTAGGAATGGTGGCAGATAAGGTGGAAATTAATTTTCCTTTAGATCCGCTTTTTTGTTCTTAGTGCTATACTTAAAGTAAAAATT